CACCCCCTACCGCTTGACTATTCCAATTAGAAATGACCTCTTTCCTCTTTGGCCCATGACCATTTATCTGGTAATTAATCCAGTATCACCTTGTGACAGCTTTTGTATTATTAAAATGAACTGCCTTTTAGCTCTTGTGTGGTTGCAAAATTAACTGCTTGTGGGTTTTTGTCTTGTTTCCTCAACGAGATCATGAGCCTCTTGAGGAGAGGGAGCCTGCCTTGTGCCCCGCACAGCATCCAGGACAGGACCCTACATGTTGTAATCGCAGTAGTAGTGATGTTAACAGTGATGAGGACTTTTACAGCTAGCTTTCTGCGTGCCAGGTACTGTTCTAAACACTTTCCATGTATAAACTCACTTACTAGTGGATAAATATTTGAGTTTTGGTATTGTGGGTTTATTTGACCTCAAACCAAACCTTTGAAAAGGAGTGTAAAAGGAAGAGCACCCAGTGACAATATCCAGACACTTATTCTAGCTGGCTGTTCAGAGAAGAGGGTGAGTTTTCTAGGAGAAGCCCTGACGGGTAGGGGAGGACTGAGGATGGCCACAGCCTGGGAAAGAAAGAAAGAGGAAGAAGAACAGGCAGGAATGGAGATGCCCTAAGCTTGAGGGCAGCAGAAGCACCAGGGTTTTCCGAGGCTCTGGCTTTGAGTTGAGCCATGCTGGTGGATTTGCTCCCTTTTCCTGCACTGGCAGGGTTAGGAGTCTGGAAATAAGGTCTGACCCCTAGCCGGACCTTGCTGAGCCTCCATTCCACAGAGGGTCACTGCAAGCTGGCCCAGGTTCCCTGGGGATAGCAAGCCCCATGCATGGCCACTGCCCCAGCCTGTCCCCACCAGCCGGGTTCCCACCCCAGCTGGCCCTGGACCACCCGCCTCTCCTGCACTTGGAAGGCTCCGGATGAGCGCCTGGGCCATGCTCGGAGTGAATGTGCTGAGCATGCCGATATGGGACAGCCAGAGCAAACAGCTAATGGAAATTAATTCCCACCCCTGGGCCTTTTCTCTCCTCAGGCTCATCATTAGCTTCTCAGAATCTTTCCCGTGTCTCTACACTGCAGAATGTTTCGGGTGCTGGGGATTCTGGGCAATTTCACCCTAGCCTCCAAGTAAAAGGCAGCCAGGAAGCTGCCTCCCTGAGCTCTAAACTGTGGCTCCAACATTTTGGGGTCCAGGAGGCTTCATTTGTATGTTGAAAACTGGGGAGGTCTAAGGATCAGTTAGGACACATCAGTACCAATCTGTGTGCCAGGCCAGCAGCCAAGAATTAAATCCCACATCCCCGGCTAAAAGCACTTCCTTACCCTTTGTCAAGCACAAATAAAAGGGTTTCAGCACCTGTGTAATGAAATTTTTGGATTCTTAAAAACAGGAAAAGGAGAAAGGAAGAAAGCACTTTAGGTTTTTGATACACTGATCTCTAGAGGGGCTAAAACTTTCAGCCCCTTGGTCAAAGCTCCACAATCAGTTGGAAGAGCTAACGCCTTCTTTAAACAGACCTAGTTTCTAGGGAAGGCACCATGGGGTTGTGGCTGGCTCTGCTGAATCCAGACATGCCCCAGAATAAATGCCAGTGCATCATTGAATCTTCAGTTACATTTTACTGAACAGTCCTTGAAATCAGGAAAGTGGTTTAATTTGCCAACAAAAGAGTAAGGAGAGTTTTTCCCCTGAAACTCTGCCCAGAGGTCCAGGTTGAATGGATTGCCATTTTAATTTTATACGTGAGACTTAGAGAGTAGTGGTATTTTTCCTCTTTGTGGAAGTCTTATTTAGATGGCTGCCATTGAAGTCTTTCTATGGGACACCAGGGCTCGTCTTCTTTATAATAGAGTGTGTCTGCCTCAAGGAGAGGACTGTCTTTCCTGTCCTTGAGTCCCACCTCCCCCCAGAGCCTGGCACCTCTCCGTTATACAGTAAACATTGGCTGAATGAATGAAGAAGTGAATAAAGTGTCTGAGTTCCTAACACCAAAATAGCAGTGCAATAGGAAGCATCTGACGCTGTGCACCTCAGGAACCGCGAAAAATTATACCCTTGAGCCCACGCTGCTGGGCTCCTCTTTTTGTTGTTGTTCAGTCAGGTATTTAATAATTCAACAAGCCAACCCTGCCACGGTTTGGGCTCGGCCGAGCGGACATTTAGTCTGCTCCCAAGGCGCTGGCATCCCTCCTGGCTGGGCTGCTCTGAGTCTGCCCTCGCTGTGCCCGACCCCCCACACGCCTTCCCCAGGGATCCTCTGTGGCCGGAGGCCCAGCCCCACTGCCAGGTCAGCTCCTGCACCAGACTGCCTGCAGCCTCTTGCCACAAACTCTTCACTGAAGCCAACAGAACAAGAGTTCACCCCTCCTCCCCTCTTCTCTCCCTTTGTTTCTCTTTTCTGCCACTCTCCTCACTCTCGCTTTACCTTCCACCCCTCCCCCACTCATTCTGCCATCCTAGTTTTCGCCCTCTGTCCGGCATCTTGTTCAAGGCTCCCAGCCCTAACTGGACAGGTTACCAGCATCTAACTTACAGAGATGCGAAGAGGTACCTCTCCTGAGCTGGGACAGCATGGGCGAGAAGCCTGCTTTGGGCTGGTGCTGATTTAGAGTGGGGATGTCATGTCGGCTTCTCAGGTCTGAAGATGGAGAACCCCTGCCTGCCATTCTGGGGGTGAGAGATCCAGCATAACGCAATGGCTAGCCCCCAACCCAAGCCTCCCTTATCCCTAACCTCATGTGGATCACACATTCCCCTTGCCTTGCTCATCATTCTTTTCTCTGCCTACCAGGAGCTCCTTGAGGGCAGGCAGTTGGTTTTACTTTTATGAATTATCAGACCTAGCCCAAGCCTGCCACCAACAGGAGCTGAATAAATGTGCAATCGACTACAATACAGCTCTGGAGCGCTTACTGTATACCAGGCTCTGGGCCTTAGGGATATAGAAGTGAACCAGACAAGACTTCGCTAGGCTGGAGATACCTACACTCTTGCAGGAGAGATGGGCTTTCAACTCTTATGAATGTGAAGCGAGATCTTAATAAGAAATGCATATGCAGGGGTGAGGGCACACACGGGGAGGCCTAACCTCGCCAAGGGGTCAGGAAAAGCTTTTCAGAGAAGCTCTGACTCCTACCAGACAAATAGGAGTTGGGTGGAGGGGGCTGGAGAGGGGAAGGGCAAGAGAGACCATTCTAGGCAGAGGGAATATTGGTTGGATGGGTAGATGGGTGACCCTGGCACTGAAATCCGAGCTCGCCGCTACAGCGGGACAGCATTCTGTCAGGCACAGGAAACAGGTGGCTGAATGAGGGGTGCATAGCCATTGTGCTTAGAATGTGGTGGTGGAATTTATCTCTTCATTGTCCCAGTCACGGCACATGGACCCATGTCGCCCAAGGCTACAGCCTGATCCCAAATGTTCCTAGGAAGGGGGTGGGATAGACACATCCACCTCCCCTGACAAGGAGAGACAGGGGACCCTGGAATTAAGAGAAAACCCTTCAGCCCGTTGCACATTGACACTGCCAACCTTGGGCACCTCACCCAAGACTCTTCTCCCCACTCAGATGAGCGGGAAGTTGTTCAGAAGAAGACCTTCACGAAATGGGTGAACTCAAACCTGGCTCGCGTGCCCTGCCGCATCACTGACCTCTACAAGGACCTGCGGGATGGGCGGATGCTCATCAAGCTGCTGGAGGTGCTCTCTGGAGAGATGCTGGTAAAAGCCCCTTTCCCCGAACCCTGTGGCTGGTGTTGTGCCCCCTCTTTAGAAAAGACATGACTGGGGATGTTTCCAGTTCTCATGGCCTTCAAGGTTTCTCCCTCTTCTTTTGGGAGGTTTCATTACTTACTGATGTGAGATGTCCGTGTGGCTTACTGAGTTCTCTGACCTCTTGTCAGAATGTATTGCCTCTTGGCCATTCCCACCTCTTCATGCTTCTCCCAGAAGCCATGCAGAGCTCTTGATTCCTCCACTGGGGGGCAAGGCATCTGTGGCTGGCCTGCAGTGGACCCACCCTCAGCCTCCTCACGCAGGCTAAGATGGATTTTGTTACCCAGCTGGAGAAATTGACATCCTTCTTGGAACCAAGAGAAGAGCATGGAAGATATTTTCCTGTGTGTCCTATCACTCTTACAAGTGGAAATGTAGTATAGGCCCGCTCCATTGTGACCCACCTGGCAGTAATGTTGTCTCTGAGGGAGAACCAGATTAAGGTTCAAGTTTTGCTCAGTCACTTCCATCATAACCTTGGGTCTGTCAGTCAGGAACTTCTTTTCCTTGTTTCCCCTAAGTATAAAATGATACGTGTACCTGATGAGGTACTAAGATCCTCGGGGTTTGAATGAAAACATACCACATTCTTCCACTGGCTTTTTCAACTCCAGGCTGCTGCCTCTTATAGAAGGAGTTACCACTGGGAACCCTTCACATGATGTGGTTACTTCTCGGTGGTGGTCCCCTTAAGTTTTGGCTGGACCCATTCAGAGGTGGGGAGGGAGGAGGCTGGATGGTGGGATGGCCCCCGTTATCAATTCCCCAAACAAAAAGCCACTCTTACCACCGGCAGTTAATAGTTCTTAGAACTGTGCCTGGCATGTAATAAGTGCTCAATTAACTATTTGTTGTGTCAGTGCTTTTGAACGGCATTTATTACCCCCTCAGAAGTCTTTGTTCCAACCCAGGAATAGTACCGAAGCAGCCCAATTACAGAGCTCTGGGTACCCAAGGAAAGGGGAGCATCTGAACTTTGCAGAAAGGATGGGATTGAAAAGTGTCAAGGAGTGAACCTGAGAGTTGGAGGTTGGCCGGGAGGGTGGAGGGTGGATGCTGATGACAGGAGTTGATCCAGGCTGCAATCACCTCTGGGGTGACTGTGAGGTCCCTCCATGCCCATGGGGCCAATGCCATCCCTCAGCCAAAGCCCACGAAGGGGAAGATGCGCATCCACTGCCTGGAGAATGTGGACAAGGCCCTACAGTTCCTCAAGGAGCAGCGTGTGCACCTGGAAAACATGGGCTCCCATGACATCGTGGATGGCAACCACCGCCTGGTCCTGGGCCTCATCTGGACCATCATCCTTCGCTTCCAGGTGGGTTCCTGGGGGAGCAGAGGGAGCCTCCCTGGGCCAGGAAGGCGAATGAAGTATATTTGTGCACATTCTGGGAGGCTAGAAACCTGTCCTATGGGGCAGTGTTTATAGGAAGAAGTGACCATCCTCTGCACTAATTGCTGAAGCTCAGGGTGAGCTGTTCAGTGAACAGTAGTCTTTTGAGGGAGAAGATAGAGATTAGTAGCTGGGGTGAGGTCTGGCTGGGAGATCTGCTTTTGTCACTTTCCACCAATGTGTAACTTTTGGGTTTTTTAAAATCGTTTGATTCAGAAGTTGCAAAAACAATACAGAAGATCTATATTAAGTTTTTCAATCAGAAACTTTTTTCTTCCCACTCTGAAATTCAAGGTCCGTTATTTGTAAAGGGAATTTAGAAAGTGCAAGGGAAGGAAAGCGGGGCCTTCCACCGGCTGGCTTGGGGACAGGAAGAATCTAGTCCCGGGATGCCTGAGTGGCTCAGTCCGTTGGGCAGCTGCCTTCGGCTCAGGCCATGATCCCAGGGTTCTGGGATCGAGCCCCACGTCGGGCTCTTCACTACATGGGGAGCCGCTTCTCCCTCTGCCTGCCTCTCCCCCGGCTTGTGCTCTCTCTCGGTCTCTCTCTCCCTTTCTCTCTGACAAATAAATAAAATCTTAAAAAAAAAAAAAGAAGAATCTAGTCCTGAGGTCAGGGAGGGCAAGGAGAAAGAAGATAGCACACAGCTCACAGATTGAAGATCTCATCCGAGGGGTGTTGGGGATCCAATTTCACTCTGTGGGTGTGTACAATGAAACAGTATTGACCACAGCATTGGGAAGAATGAAAAGAGGCGCTACTAATCAAAACAGAATACCTTTCAATATTCATGTTGTCCCTTGCAGGGCATTGTTCCTCAGAGGAGGATTTGGGGCATCTTGTTTATTCTCACTATCCCATTAGTTATCAAGTTAGGGCTGTCTCCTCTGACATGAGGAGGCCATCCCTGGCCCGTTATAGCTGACTAAGGTGGGGAAACAGGCCATGGGGACCCAGGGCCTTGCACTCTGGTTGTGTTGCAGGGCCGGCGAGGCAGATGGATGGCTAAGAAGGAAGAGAGAGGGAGGGAGCTTCCCGGGGAGAGCAGGAAGGCACGGAGCCAGATGCAAATCTCGTTTCTCCCTCTCTCGTTCCCACACCCCTAGATTCAGGACATTGTCGTGCAAACTCAAGAAGGTCGTGAGACGCGCTCTGCCAAGGATGCGCTACTGTTGTGGTGTCAGATGAAGACAGCAGGGTATGTCCTGGGAACCCATTCGCTGCTCCGGTCCCCACTCCCCTCCTCCTTCCCCCACGTACTGCCACAGCCAAGGGACACACATGCCACTGCCCAGAACTATAGCAGCTTCGGCGTAACCAAGGCAAAATGTATCCGGACCTGATTCTGGGAGGCCTGGAATTCGGGATTCCTTTCCAGAGTTGCCTGGGTCGGACCGTGGTGTCTGTTGGGTGTGCGAGTCTCTTGGGCCCACCTTATGGAGGAACCTGTTCGTCTGTTGCTGAAGGGGCTCAAGAAGGGACAGATCCATTTCTCTCCTGTGTATTGGTCCTTCAGTTCATACACTTTTGGGGACCCCAAAATAATCTGTTTCTTAGGTCTTGATGTTTCTCTTGGATGCAGCTACCCCCAGGTCAATGTCACCAACTTCACCTCCAGCTGGAAGGACGGCCTGGCCTTTAACGCCCTGATACATAAGCACCGGTAAGCAGAATGGGGAGGGCTGAGGGCAGAACCCCTGGGCTGTTGGGATACATCGCGCACAACGTGTAGGTCCCTGTTTAAGCCTTCTCTCACCCGCAGCTTCTCTGCCTCCCTGAAATTCCAGGCATGCCCTCTGGCCCTTCCCCACGTTCTGGTGCTCACCGCTGCCCCTCCCCTGCTTTCTGTCTCCTCCTTTCACTTCTGCCCAGCTGTCTGTCCAGTGTCTTTGCTTCGTACTGGGGCTGCCCTGTAGGTGGGGGATGCTGCGGCCACCGCCTTTTAGCAGTCTGGCCTTGTCCCCAGGCCTGACCTGATCGACTTTGATAAGCTGAAGGACTCGAACGCGCGGCACAACCTAGAGCATGCATTCAAGGTAGCTGAGCGTCAGCTGGGCATCATCCCGCTCCTCGACCCCGAAGGTGAGCTGCACCTGCTCCAGCCCTTCGCTGCTGTGAGGGAGGTAGCGTTCCTGCCGGAGGGAGCCCCAGACTGACAGGACACTGAGAGGAGTCTAGGCCCAGTGCCGGGCCAGTCGCGGACACAGCGAGGGGCCGGTGGCCGGGCCAGCGCTCTGCTCTGGGCCTGCTCTTCAGATCCAAGATGGTTCCTGACCCTCACCCATTTGTAGTCTCTGGATCCTTCTTTTTCACTCCTTTCACTCCCTTTGTGGTCCAAATATGGATTTCATCCTCTTGCGAAAATCGCACTCTTTCATTCTCACCCCTCTGGTTGTCTCTTGGTGCCTGGAGTTGAATTTCGTGCTGGAGGAACAGGGAGATAAACCCTCTGAGCCTGACAGTTCCAGCTTCCAGCTGGGTCCTGAGCATGCACTCTTTCCCCTTGCAGATGTCTTCACGGAAAACCCTGATGAGAAATCCATCATTACCTATGTGGTGGCATTTTACCACTACTTCTCCAAGATGAAGGTGCTCGCGGTGGAGGGCAAGCGCGTGGGCAAGGTACAGAGCTCTTTCACAGAGCGTCACCTCATTTCCCTGTTCGCCACACTGCGATCCTCCTTTTCCATCCTGAGAGCTCTGAGTCTGGGCCCCAGTTGCAGGTGGGGGAGACAGATCACCCCCCACCAACTTCCTCTGAAGCCAAGCCCTGCCGCGTTAATGGTTCCCAAGCTCAATTCCAAAACAAGTTGATGGTCTGTCCTGACCAATGTCCTCGCCCCTGTTCCCCATCTCATGAACATTTCCACGGGATATGATGGGCTTTTATGTGTTGGTCTGTTGTGGTTCTGGGCCTCTTCACCCTGTGGTGGATCAGGAACCCATCCCACTGTACAGACCCTCCTGCCGGATGCCTTTCCCCTGCTGGTCCACAGCTCCCCAAGGGTAGAGACCATTTCTCATTCGTCCTTGTGTGCCTGGTGGTTAGCAAAGGCAGTGCCTAGAAGCCCTGGATTCCTAATAATGCATTTTAAAATAAACAAGACCTCGGCCCTTCTAGCGGCTGATGTCCTGGCACAACAAGCTTACCAGTGTTTATAGGCTTAGGGGGAGGGTGGAGCTGCCCCTGCACCCTAGCAGAGCTAGCTCCCTGCTAATGTTGCCAGTCCACTTCCAGGCCACTCCTCCTGCCTTAGCACTGCTTTTGGGCTCAGGGAACAAACCCACCGTGGGACACTCCAGGGCTGGAGAGGGGGACCGCCTTCCCTGTGGTCCCCACCGGGGGCCTCGTTGGTGTCATTGCTCTTCTGATAAAGACAAGTAATGAAGTGATTCCCTAGGTCATTGACCACGCCATTGAGACCGAGAAGATGATTGAGAAGTACAGTGGGCTGGCCTCAGAGCTGCTCACCTGGATCGAGCAGACCGTCGCCGTCCTGAACAGCCGCAGGTTTGCCAACTCCCTGGCAGGCGTCCAGCAGCAGCTACAGGCCTTCAGCACCTACCGCACCGTGGAGAAGCCCCCTAAGTAAGGGCCTGGGCTCTGGGAGGCTGGGCATCCGTGGCTGGGACACTGACTGCCAAAGGTAGAGCACCCCTGCCCAGCTGTCTGTCCAGTGTCTTTGCTTCGCTGGGCCTTGAGAAGTACCTCCAGGAGGTATAATAACCTAGAGGCCAGAGAGCTTCACATCTGTCATCTCCTTCACCCCCACCTTGCGTTCCTGCTCCCAAGCCATCAGCCTGCAGGAAAGGGGCATTGATGAGTAACCAGAGAAAGTACTGGAAAGTTTCTCTCTCCTCTGTGCATGGAGCCATGCGTTTGTCGTCTGGTAATGACCTCTGTATTCTCAGCCCCAGAGCTCTCTGTATGGGGTCTTGTTGATCATCAGGTACATCCTGTTTCTCTCCCATCTGTCGCTGCTCATCAGCAGAGCATTTGGGGACCTCTCAGGACCTCTGCTTCACCCAGTGTGAAGTGCACACATCTGCACGGCCACACCCATGCGTGTGCATGCGCATACAGACACACCAACAGAAACACGCACGCTTGGACGCACAAAGAGAGGGCGCATTCCGGCTCACCTGCCCTTAGCTTGTCCAGCTCTTCAGAAACAGATCTCTGGCTCATTGGTGGTACCCTCAGCCTTGTTCCTCCCCCTCGCCTCCCACACTCTTCATTCATGACTCTCAAACAGGGAAAGGTGAGACACAGAGTCTAGAATGTACTATAAACAAGTATCGCCTTTCTGGCCTGACACTAACCCACTTTTAAAGTCCTAAATTCAGTACAGATAACCTCCCCTGGGCTTTTCTCAAGCCGAGCACCACAGGGGTGCTATCTCTTGGCCGAGTGGATGGTGCTCTGGGCCCCAGCCCTCTTTAAACAACTGTGAGTGGTCAGCTCTGTCAGGCTGGCCTCAGGGTGGGGACCTGGTTGACAGCCCATCTTTGGCTGCTACGTGGAGGATGAAGAAGGAGGTAGATACCTGTGTCCATGCGGAAATGTAAAAGTATGCAGTTCCCTTGAGCTGAGCCCCCGGGCTCTAGATGGTCACCCTGCTGCCAGTTCTCATCTACACCTGCTCTCTTCCTGGAGCGCAGTCTTTCCTCTCCCCGCAGAAGCAGCGGCCCTTTAGGACTTGTCTGGAGGGCTGGCTCATTAGTACTCAGGTGAAGGTTGCTTTCAGTACAATATGTTCCTACGTGAATAATGCTACTTCTAAGGTGTTCGTGGCTCGTCAATAAAAAACTGACTAAAGAGCTAGTCAGAGCCTTCGTCATTCGCAGAACAGGGAAGAGCTTTCTTTGTGTCTACTGGTAAAACTCTTGGTATCTGCAGGAATTACTAGAATGCTCCAGTTAGCCATTCCCCTGTGGAAGCAGATGATAAGCAAACACTGTGGTGGCTGTTGTGTTTTTTTCTGGTTTGTATTTTAAAGACTCACCCCTAGTAGATCACAGTTGGTGAGTATGATAGATGTTTTAACAGGTAAGTTGACCTAGATATCCTCTTTACCTTTTGTTTTTAAGGAGAATATGTTTCACTATCCAAGCTCCAAATGCCAGGCTTCCATGTTGACTTAAGCAAAAAAATTGGCAATGGAGACCTCGACACTAATCTCCCTACCTCTGCTTTCACAACAGGTTCCAGGAGAAGGGGAATCTGGAAGTCCTACTTTTTACCATCCAGTCCCGGATGAGAGCCAACAATCAGAAAGTGTATACCCCTCACGACGGGAAGCTGGTGTCTGACATCAACCGGGTACCGCAGTGTTTTCCATTATACATAGCCAGCGGGTTGGCTGAGTTTCTGACAAGGGGGCAGAAAATGGTTACTGGACAGGGTTAAACCAAGCCACTTGCTGTTGTGGTATTAACTAACTACACATGCTGGCTATTTGGGGGTACCCTCTGAACCTAGTTCTGAGAGGTCTGACACCAGCCACTGCCCATTAGCTCAGCCCCTTGCTCAGATGCCCAGAGTCCATTTTGGGAGCCAGTTTTATAGCTTAGTCTCTATACATTCTTGAGTTTTTCTGACAATTGAATGAATATTAACTGCTTATGACAGAAGGGAAATGCCTTCCGATATTTGAGAGATTTGGAGGCTTAGCACCACTTGGACGTTCTAACAGAATGAAAGTAGCCATTGAGTCAGTGAGAATGTACTGAACACCCACAGAGACAAGTAACATTAGGCCAAGAGTCTAAGGCAGGTTTAGGGGAGGAGGGAACTGGGGGGTCACGACCAGTGCTCCCCAAATCTTTGGTAGCCAAAAGATTTACTGAATTTTAGGCTCTGCCTAGATTCCTGAAATCACTCAGTGTTGGGTGAAAGAGACGGAACCCCCAAACCCAGGTGTTCCCCTGTGCCCCAAGAATTCCCCTTTGTCCCCCACACAGGCCTGGGAAAGCCTGGAGGAGGCTGAGTATCAGCGGGAGCTGGCCCTGAGAAACGAGCTCATTCGGCAAGAGAAGCTGGAACAGGTAGCCCGGCGCTTTGACCGAAAGGCTGCCATGAGAGAGACGTGGCTCAATGAAAACCAGCGCCTCGTGGCTCAGGTAATGGGAGACACACTGGGCATGGCAGGAGGCAGAAGCCTTCCAGAGCCCCCAGCAGGCAACTGGGCTGCAGACCCAGCTGGCCTCTCGGTGGCAGCAGGATAAGCCTCTCCACAGGCCTTGCAGCCCTGCTCCCCAGGACTGGGTAGATTCGGATTCACATTTGAGGAAGAACTCTCCGTGGACTCTGGCCTCTAGGGCATCAGATTTCACTAGCTAAAAATTGACCCCAGGGCTGATGCTCCATAAGAGCATCTATTGCTTCCCACTTAGAGTTTGGACTCAAATGTCCAGGCGGGGCGAAGCCAGTGTTCTGCGAGGATCGGAGAGAGTGCGTGCAGACTCGAAGGCATGGGGGTGAGCCGTCTGTTTACAGCTGCAGGGCTCCTGAGTTAGGAGCAGCGCCTTCCTGCCCACAGTCGGGCACGTCCCTCCTAGGCAGGGTGGCGGGCACCAGCAGGCCGCGGAAGGGCACAGGGAATAACATTATGAGCTGCTTTTAAAGGTTCTTGGAAGACATTTGGTCTTTGGAACTTGGCTCTGATAAGATTGGCTGAAAAAGACAGCAGACTGGGCTCCTTGGGACTGGGCTTTCCCAGCGAGCGGTGGTTCTGAAGGGACCGCCGTTTCTCTGTGTTTGAGGGGACTAGCCAGGGCGGCCCGACTAAGTCGCCCGCTTTTCTCCCTGGGGGCCAGGATAACTTTGGGTTTGACCTGGCAGCCGTGGAGGCCGCCAAAAAGAAGCACGAGGCCATCGAGACCGACACAGCCGCTTATGAGGAGCGGGTGAAGGCCCTGGAGGACCTGGCCCAGGAGCTGGAACAGGAGAATTACCATGACCAGAAGCGCATCACTGCCCGCAAGGACAACATCCTGCGCCTATGGAGCTACCTGCAGGAGCTGCTGAGGTCCCGGCGCCAGAGGCTCGAGATGACCCTGGCCCTGCAGAAACTCTTCCAGGACATGCTGCACAGCATCGACTGGATGGACGAGATCAAGGTGGGCCCTTGGAGGCTGCCCATCCCCCGCACCCCCCCCCCAGGCCCGCCTTGGTGCGGGCGGTGCCGTTAGCTCTGCTTCCTTAGATGCCTCCCAGCCAAGCACAACCCTGAGCCAGAATGGAGAAACTGAGGCAGTACAGTGCCTGGCTGCTCCCCCTGCCTGGTTCCCTCTGCTCCAGACAAGTCACTAGCCCGGGTCCTCTGTATTTCGGGTGATCAAGACATCTTAGGTTCACGGTAGCACAGATGCCAACCTACAGGACCTAGAAATGATAGACAGGAATCAGGAACCGGGAAAATCAGGCTCTGAGTAATCACGGTTTCAGTCTGGTTAGAATCCAGACCTCCCAGCATAGGGGCAACCAAGAAGTCGGAATCTCCTCTCCCTCTACTACAGTGGGTCTCATCGAGGATGCCCAGCAGACCGGCCACGGAGCTTTCTAAAAATGCACATGCCCAGGCCCCAAACCTTGAGACAGATGCAGGAGATCGAGTGTGAGGCTTGAGCTTCTGAAAAACGTTCCATGCCTGACTCTGAAAGGCACTCCCAGTAGGAAGTCCTGCCCTATAGCTCCCGTGCTGGGCAGTGCCCATTTCCAGCTGCATCTGACTTCCTGGCCCAGATACGATGGACACTCCCTTCGGAAGGGTCTCTTCTCCTCGCAGGTATGTCTTCAGCTCTCCTCGTCCCCTCTACCTGGTCTTTCCTCTTTGCCAGGCTCACCTCTTATCTGCCGAGTTCGGGAAGCACTTGTTGGAGGTCGAGGACTTGTTACAGAAGCACAAGCTGATGGAAGCTGACATCGCCATCCAAGGGGACAAAGTGAAGGCCATCACTGCAGCCACCCTGCAGTTCACTGAGGAGAAAGGTGAGGCCGCAGCTGTCTCTCCAGCCTCTGGCTCAGCGTTCTAGCACCCCAGCTTGGATAAGTCTCCTAGCTTTAGAATTCCGCTTCTTCCCTCCACTGATGGTGCCAGAAAGAAGCTTGAAGGATAGTAGAATTCTCCAGAGACCAGGCAGCTGCTTGGGTGATCTATACTCAGAAGGTGTTTATAAGCACCAATAATGCATCATCTGCCTTTCATTTACTCTGCTAGTTCAAGATACAACAGAGACAATTTAGGTTTCTAGCTTTGGGTCTTTTTTTAAAAAATAAAGTTTTATTTAAGTAATCTCTACACCCAGTGTGGGGCTCAAACTCATGACCTGGAGATCAAGAGTCCCACACTCTTCCAATTGAGCCAGCCAGGCGCCCCTCTAGCTTTGGGTCTTAAATAAAAGACCCTGTTGCCTCCTTGAAGAGTCATCTTGAAATTTGTGTCTGGGCCTTTTTATTTTATTTTATTTTATTTTTAAGATTAATTTATTTATTTGAGAGAGAGAGAGAGGAGGGACAGAGGGCGAGGGAAAGAGTTTTAAGCAGACTTTGTGTGGAGCACATAGCCCGACATGGGGCTCAATCTCACGACCCTGAGCTGAAACCAAGAGTCGGACGCTTAACCAGCTGTGCCACCGAGGCGCCCTGGTGTCTGGGCCTTTTAAAAAAAAATAATTTCTTGTTGTGCATTTCTCCTGAGAGCTGACCCAACTTATTCATGAAGTGTTAGTGGTAACGAATTATAAAGAACCTGACCTGCCCTCTGAGCAACTGCCCCCCCCCATATGCAATCCCAAAGCCCCCATAGGATGGCAGGTTCTAGATCATGTGGTTTTAGCCTGGCAACTGACCTGAAGCTTGCCCACAAGCAAAGCCCTTACCTCTTTTGTCTTCCCTTCTTTCATTCCTCCCAGGATACCAGCCTTGTGACCCCCAGGTTATCCAGGACCGGGTCAGCCACCTGGAGCAGTGCTTTGAGGAGCTGAGCAACATGGCAGCTGGGCGGAAGGCCCAGCTAGAGCAGTCTAAGCGGCTCTGGAAGTTCTTCTGGGAGATGGATGAGGCCGAGAGCTGGATCAAGGAGAAGGAGCAGATCTACTCTTCCCTGGACTATGGCAAAGACCTGACGAGCGTGCTCATCTTACAGCGCAAGCACAAGGCCTTTGAGGATGAGCTCCGAGGGCTGGACACCCACCTGGAGCAGATCTTCCAGGAGGCAGAGGGCATGGTGGCACGTAAGCAGTTTGGGCACCCGCAGATTGAGGCCCGAATCAAGGAGGTGTCCGCCCAGTGGGACCAGCTGAAGGAGCTGGCTGCCTTTCGCAAGAAGAACCTCCAGGACGCTGAGAACTTCTTCCAGTTCCAGGGTGACGCTGACGACCTGAAGGCCTGGCTGCAAGATGCCCACCGGCTGCTCTCAGGCGAAGACGTGGGGCAGGATGAGGGGGCCACGCGGGCCCTGGGGAAGAAGCACAAGGACTTCCTGGCGGAGCTGGAGGAGAGCCGCGGGGTGATGGAGCATCTGGAACAGCAGGCCCAGGGCTTCCCCCAAGAGTTTCGGGATTCCCCAGATGTGACCAACCGGCTGCAGGCCCTCCGGGAGCTCTACCAGCAGGTGGTGGCCCAGGCAGACCTGCGTCGGCAGAGGCTACAGGATGCCCTGGACCTGTACACGGTGTTTGGGGAGACGGACGCCTGTGAGCTGTGGATGGGGGAGAAGGAGAAGTGGCTAGCCCAGATGGAGATCCCAGACACACTGGAGGACCTGGAGGTGGCACAGCACAGGTCAGAGCCTGACTTTGTCTTCCTCGCCTCCCTCCGCTATGGCCTGCACTCCATCCCCGCCGAGGGGGGATCCACCTCTAGATCAGCAAGGTTCTCTTTGAGAGGTGATGGGATGCCCTTTATGGCTAAGGCCATGCACCAGAGCCATGGGTTTCAATCAGGCTCTGTGACTTTGGGTCCTTTACCCCGTGGGGCCTTCCTTAAAATAAGTAGGGGACCTTTCTAGTCCAGTTATTCAATTCCTTTTCAGCCATAGCGGTCTTTGTTCAAATGAATTGTAGACAGAACCCCTAGCATAGAACACAGAGGAAAGCAGAACCATTTAGTGAAGTAGGAGGTGAGAAGTCAGAACCCCACCAGCTCTCGCTTTCCATGGCAGCCCCTCAGCCACAGAACCCTGAAGGACCCCAGGGACCAGTTTGCAAAGCCCCGGGCTACAAGGCCCGCTCCTTTCCAGTACTCTGATTGTGTCCATGCTGTGGCATGGGGGAGCGTGCACCCCATTCATGTGGCCCTCTTAAGTACAGAACTAGAGAGTTGAGGAGCATGAGAGGTCACTCCCTAGAGCATGCTGAGGTGGGCCCAGGCTGCCGGAGGGAAGGGTCCGCTTTCAGAACTATACCCTGGCCCCTGGCAGCGTCCTCTTCTCCTACCCAGGGACAGAGCACCTGGCTGGGGAGGGGATCCTTCAGGGCAAGGTCAAGGCAGCGGAATTAGGGCCCAAGGGCAGCAGCTGTGGCTGTGGAGGTATGGCGGGTGTTCTCTGAGGTGATCAACACCCCCCTCTCCCCAGACACACCTCTTCGTTCCCTTGTACCTTTCCATTGAGCCAGTGGCCCATGGAGTAAGCAACCAGCTCTTTACTAGCCTGGTCCAAGAAATGCTAAACCATGAAATTGGACCCATGAACCAGAAAATAGGGTATGTCAGCGTATCTTTTTCCTTTCTGCCCCCTTCCCTAGTCAAATGTATTCTGGAGATGGAAGGAGAAAGCAAGAGCTCCACATTCCAGAGACTGGGTGGTAGGCAAAGTGCCCATGCTTCCTCCCCAGTCATCTTCTCTGTCCATATCAGGTTTGACATCCTGGACCAGGAGATGAAGACCTTGATGACGCAGATTGACGGCGTGAACCTCGCTGCCAATAGCCTGGTAGACAGCGGCCACCCTCGCAGTGGGGAAGTGAAACAGTACCAGGACCACCTGAATGACAGGTGGGGCGTGGGTAGGGCTGGGGGCTGAGGGCGCCTTCTCTCGACAACTGACAACCCCTGGGGTGTGACCCCGACGTCAGGACGCCTGCTGTGCACTGCCAGTTTGTCCCCTCCGAGCTCCTGTCTTTCTCAGCCTGTCTCCTTCTGACTCTGGAGCGCTAGCAGCAAGGTGGAAGGCCCTGCGTGGTGAACAGAGTGGTGAATGCTGTCGGGCTTGGGGGGGCATCTCCTGGGGGATGGAGGAGCTGCTCTGAGTGCACGTGTAGTTAGAATCAGGCCGTGTGCTACTCAGGCCACATTTCCCCAGACATTCATAGGCCGGGAAAATTGCTTTCTGAGAGCTCTTAAGTACTGTCCATAAAAGAAAGCTCCAGCCTGTGCCAAAATGCAGCATCGATAATGAGGCTGGCTTGAATGCAGAGGAGAATTAGCAGGAAGCCTTGAGCACACTTTGTGGCTGGAACAAAAAACAGGCCCTGAGGAGCCTTTGGAGAGGGGGTGCTTTCAGTCTGAGGTGTAATTGCCATGAGTTCCCCAAGGATCTCTGAGGACAGCACACACTTCTGTGTTCCTGTTTGTTACCCGGGGCCCCGTGCACACAATACCACGTGTTCACCAGCTCCCCGCTGCCCCAGCTCCTTTCCCCACACTTGTGTCTGAGCCTTGCTCTGCCTGAAGCAATCTGGGAGGTGGAGTTAGGCAAGACCCTGTTGTGTGGGGGGAAGAAAGGGGGGTCAGCACAGTAGAGACTCTGATGGGGGCCCAGCAGGAGGCAGGAGGGTGATAAGGATACTTCAGAGCCACTAGAACGGGGCTGATGATCTCAGCATCCAGAGATGGGTACTGTAGTTCAGAAGATTCCTCTGTAATCTGAGGTTTATGCAGAAGGGGAAGATGTCTCTTTGTTCTTCTTTAGGCTTGGAGGTAATGGGGGGGGAGTATGTTGTGTGTGTGTGAGTGTGCATGTGAGTGTGTGCATGTGCAAGACAGGAGAAACTTGTTAGCTATCTATCTGTTGCCTTAATGAGCTATAGTCAGAGAACGATCTTTACAGATCCCTAAGCTTTGTACCATCCTAAGTGAAATACATCAAGGCACTTGCCATCCTTAGGTGAGAGAGAACTGGGGGCATGAAACACTAAGATGGTTTTCTTGAGAGTTGAAACGTACCTGAGAAGTCATCGAGTCCAGCCAAATACCCCCAGACTGCTGTGTCTCGTACAAACACTTCCAGGGGTGGGGAGCTCACCTGTTCACGGTGCAGCCCATCCCATACGGAGGCAACTCCTTTTGGTTAAAAGGTTTGACCTCCTATTGAATGGAAATCTCCCTCCTTGCAATTTGTACACATTGGTTCCGGCCCTGCCCTTTAGAGAGAACAAAACTGATTCTGATTCTTCCTCCATGTGATAGCTCTTCAAATATTTTTTAGAACAACGGTCATTCTTCACCTTTGCCCGAAGTCCTGCCTCCGAGCCTCCACTGTTCTGTCCACCAGACCCCTCCTTTGGTCCATTCAGGTTCCTCTTTCTCCCTGTGTCCAAGATGAAAAACTTTCTTTCCCTCCTTTGTACTGGTTTAGAGCTTTACATTCTACCTTGTATTATAATGACTTCTATCCTGAAGAACTTTCCTACTAGACTATAAGCAAATGAAGAGTAATATCTTTATCTACTGCCCACAGTGCTTTGAGCATCAAGCACATAATTGTCTGAGCTTTCCTCTGTTTGGAATATTCTTTTCTTAGATAGCCACATGCCTACTTCCTTACATTATTAAGATCTCAGCTCACATGTCAGCTTATTGGAGCAGCCTTCACTGAGCCGGTTGAAAACATCACTGCCTCCTTCCCACCCAGCCACTGTGCCCCTATCTCGTTACCTTGCTTTATTTTTTTCATTGCACTTGTCACCACTTGGATGAATTATGGGCTTATTTATTTGTCTCTACCCACTCAAATGAGAGCAAGCACTTTGCTTTGTTCGTTGCTACCTCCCTAGAGCCTAGAACAGTGCGTGGCACAAGGCACATGATAGTTGCATGATAAATGCTTAGTGAATGAGTGAACAGGGACAAGACTGAAATATCTTCTGCCAGGCTTGGCACATACGAGTCATTCAGACACTTACTGAATAAGTGATTACCTTCCACAGTATGCATTCCAGTTGACCAACATTTTTTTTTATTATGTTATGTTAATCCCCATCCATTACATCATTAGTTTTAGATGTAGTGTTCCATGATTCATTGTCTGCGTATAACACCCAGTGCTCCATGCAGTACGTGCCCTCTTTAATTCCCATCACCAGGCTAACCCATCCTCCCACCCCCCTCCCCTCTAGAACCCTCAGACCAACATTTTTTTT